GTCCTCCACCTGCCCGCCGGCCACCTGCTGGATTTTTCCCACCTTGGGATATTGGCTTCCCCGTTTGATGTTCCCCGACCCCCGTGGTGTCCCGACGAACTCCGTTTATCGTGCCTAAGTCTAATTTGAATTTTCGGGTACCGTTCATAGGATAAAAGAGTCCTGTGTATTGCATGCTAGTTGAATTGGCACCCCTTTGACCTAGGTAAAAGATGCATGAACCCTTAGGATATTTCATAGTATGCGGATGACCACGCATAGGTTTCTTTATACGTTTCATCCCCTTTCCCAATGTGTTAATGTGAATTACATGTGCTTGCTACGTGCTATATGTGCATGTCTCCCCAATATTGGCTGCGGTCAAATTGGTCTTACAAAGGCTGCAGTCCACCGACTGAGCGGTGTGTAGGGTTGCAGTCCACAAAGAGGGCCATAGTCCACCGACTGAACTCGTCAGTGGTGCGTAGGACTATGGTCCGCCGCTGAGCTCGTCAGCGGTTTCACAGGAGCTGCGATCCACCGATTGAGCTCGTCAGCGGTGTGTAGGATCGTAGTCCACAAAGAGGATCACAGTCCACCGACTGAGCTCGTCAGCGGTGTGTAGGACTGTGGTCCGCCGTTGAGCTCATCATCGGTCTAATCGGTTTGCTGCGGTCAACCCCTTCATGTTGCGGTATGAGGTATGGTGCTGCGGGGCCGTGTTAGCGCTATATGCGCTAACCCTCATGTATAGGCATGCGATTGGTCCCGTGGCGCCACCAAAGTGTGCTTATATGATAAAGATGATTGCTTGAAAGATGACATGAACGAAGGGAAATTAAACTATGACCTTAAGATGCATAATGATATCTTTTTATGCTTGATTATAATTGTTGAATGTGCTTATCCCTATCTGTTGAGTCTATTCCTGATTTTAAAACTAGAGTTTCCTAAGTATATATCTTCCTGCTTCAAAATGATTTTCCTATATCTATAGTATATATCCCTATCTGTTAGCTTTTCCTTTCGGCCTGCGTGCCTTGATAATGTAATGAAGTTGTTTGAGGATAGTTAGTTGATGTAGCCTGTGCATCTGAGTCTCCGGCTCAGATGTGGCATAGCACCCATACCCTTATGTTCGGAATACTCTATTTGGATTTAATTAATAGAATTGCTTTCATATTATAAGATTGAAAAGTTTTAAAAATTTTTGGGGTGTTACAGGGTAGGTGGCGGGTTCCCCTACCCCCACTGACTCTTTTTCAATATATTGGTCCCGGGATCTTTAGTGGAACCCGAAACCATGTTTAAACACTTTTAAACACACCACGTAGCCAAATAATGGATCAAAACCAAGAATCACATTGAACACATCCTAACAACACTTCTAACCATAACTAACACCCGAACATGCGAAATCCCACCCAATTACATCAAGAATATCACAATACGAAATCCCCAATTTAACCTAGGGCTCTAATCATATTTGAATCATCAAAATCATAGTTCATCTTTAAAGTCAACAAGATTTATCAAGAACATCACACAATTATCAAGATCCTCTTGTAATCATCAGGATTATCAAGATCAACACATAAGATCATATCATAAACATCATAAAAGATTTATCAAGACGCAAGCATAGAGAAGGAGCCAAAGAAGAAGATTATAGCAAGGAAAATAGGTTTTGTTGACACATGGGTTACCTCTTAGCCTTAATCAGAATCCTTGGCTATAAAGGGTATTTCTCTAAGATCTCCTCTTCTTGATTTTTACTATGGGAATTCTTGGGAATTCTTGTGTTGTGAAAGCTATTGTGGTGTGATTTCTAGGTGCCTCCTATGTCCCTATTTATATATCTAAGAGTCCTAATTAGGGTCTGAATGGTATGGGTTTGCTAATTCTATTTCTTATAGGACTGAGGGATTGGTTTAGCGGTAAGGGTCCATGGTCTATGGTGGACCCTTCCTAATTAATTAATGGAATTTAATTCTCTTTTTAGGGTAAGTGATTAAATAATTAGTTTGGGTTAGAGGCTGTAACATGGGGTGTTACAAAGGTGGAATCTTGAAGACAAACTTTGGAGATCTTGATAACCCTAGACTTAGCTTGGAGAGAAAGCTAGCTAGATTTTAGAGAGAAGGAAGAGCTTATGACTTGGAATGTGTTTGGGAAGAAATGAAATGTGTCTCCTAGGTTAGCTTGGAATACCATTATAAGGAAAATGTCTTCTTTACCCTTACTAAGATGAAAAGTGTAAGGGAACAATGGAACTATTCTCAAATCTTTAGGTACAACACTTGACTTTGGGTTGACTAGCCAATTACTAGTTCTCGACTATTGATCTTCAAGAATTTCAGGAATTAAATTACCAATTGTATTAGGATTAATTACTTAATTAATCCCTTAATTGAATTTGGATTACGGGGTGTCACATCCTCTCGCCCTTCAAAGAAGCTTCGTCCCCGAAGCTTGGGTACAACGGATTGAACAAACGATGAAATGGAATAAAAATGTGACAAGAGTGTCAAGAACATCCCCTTTTGATCAAACTCAAAGGATTCAAAAGATATCAAGAATAAGCAAGAAGTAATAGCATTGCAATGATTGAAAGAAATAACCAACGGAGATAATGAGCATATCAAACACTAAACCAAACACAACCACCAACTTCTAACCAACACTCAAGATCTAAACCACTAGCTCAAAGCACAAGCTGCAAGGCTAACTACTCAACCGAACAAGCAAGCAAAAACAAACACACAAGGCAAACAACAAGCAACTCACGAACGTTGAAACGAGGTACCTGACAAGAACAACTCTTGGATAACGCTCTCTCATGGTTGACTCCAGCTCCCAAGTCGCTTCCTCCACCCCGTGATGTGTCCACCAAACCTTTACCATCTTCACGGACTTCCTACGCGTTTCCCGGGTCTTAAAATCCAGAATCCTGAGTGGCCTCTCTTCATAGGACATGTCCTCGTCTAACGGGATCACCTCTGGTGGTAAAACATGTGTCGGGTCGTGAACATATCTTTTAAGCTGTGATACATGGAACACGTTATGCACCCGCTCCAACTCCATGGGTAACACCAACCGGTATGCTAAACTCCCAATCCTCTCCAGGATTTCATAAGGATTGATAAACTTGGGGCTCAACTTCCCTTTTCTTCCAAACCGCATCACTCCCCGGGTGGGAGATACCTTCAACCAAACTTTATTTCCAACCGCGAACTCCACTTGCCTTCTTGCCAAATCGGCGTATGACTTTTGACGATCTTGAGCCTCTTTCATCCTTTCTTGAATCTGCTTAATTTTCTCAGCTGTATCAAGCAAGTATTGCGGACCCAGCACTACAATATTGACCAGATTTTCCCAACACAACGGACTGCGACACTTTTGGCCATAAAGAGCTTCATAAGGTGCCATGCATATGCTCGAATCATAACTGTTGTTATAGGAGAACTCGATTAGATCCAAATGATCCTCCCATGACCCTTGAAAATCCAGCATACAAATTTTCAACATATTCTCAATAGTCTGAATGGTCCTCTCCATTTGTCTGTCTGTGGCCGGATGGAAGGTGGTACTGAGATTCAATTTGGTCCCAAGAGCAGCTTGTAAGGATTTCCAAAACTGAGATAAGAATCTTGGATCCCGATCAGAGACGATATCCCTTGGAACCCCATGATACTTCACCACCTTATTAACATAGGCTTGGGCCAACTGCGTCATTGTCCACGTTTCCTTCATCGCGATGAGGCGAGCAGTCTTGGTCAACTGATCAACTATCACCCAAATCTTGTCCTTGCCAGTGCGAGTCACCGGTAGACCTCCCACGAAATCCAGGGATATAGAATCCCACTTTCCTTGTGGAACTTCCAGCGGGTGCACCAAACCCTTGACCCTGCAACGCTTCGCTTTAACCTTTTGACAGTTCAAGCATCTACCCACGAACTCTGCTACCTCCTTCTTCATATTGGGCAACCAAAAGAGACTCTTCACATCCTTATATAACTTGTCGCCCCGGGGTGTACCGAGTAGGGTGTATTATGGCCTTCTTTAAAATTCTGACGCTTCAACCGATCGCAAGATGTAGGTATACACAAACGGTCTTGTACCTCAACTCTCCGTCCGTAGATAACTCAAACGGTCCCCCTCTTCCTTTGGTCAGATCATCTCTTGCCCTCAATAAGTTTGCATCCACTACTACAAAAAAGGGCTTTAACGTCGGTTGTTTGACCCCATTTAACGTCGGATTTTGACCGACGTCTAGGTAGAAGACGTCGTAAATAATGAGATACGACGTCGGGTAAAAAAAACGACGTCGTATAATTTTTTAATTTTTAATATTAACATACGACGTCGGTTATTAAGAAATAACCGACGTCGTATATTTTTTAAAATTATTTTTAATTAAGAAACGACGACGGTTTTTAAATAAAACCGACGTCGTATATTTTAAAAAAAAAAACAAATAAATACACATAAGACGTCGGTTTTTATGAAAAAATCGATGTCTTATGTTAACTTTAAAATTTAAAAAAATTAACGACGTCGGTTATAACCGACATCGTTTTTTTTTAAACTATTTTCCACCCAATTAATCCCATACAGCTTTTACAATTCACAACAATTTGATATTCAAAATCTTACCATCAATTCAAAAGCAACTCATACCATCAACTAAACAAGTTAAATTTATATTTATGGTAATTCTACAATTAATAATAATAATAATAATTTCAAAGTTAAATTATCAACATCAACTAAATTTCAAGGATTGCTTTAAGCCATTCATCAATAAAATACTTACACCATACATAACTTCATCAATCTCATAAATAGTAAGTCATTCTCCTAAACCACACAAATAATAAAATCTGAAATAAAATAAGAAAAAAATCGAAATCACATAAATGGTAAGCCATTCTTCTAAACCACACAAATATAAAATCTAAAATTTAAATGTTTAAATAAAATTTGCAAACAGTCAGAGGAGGCACTAAAGGTCATCATTATTCACTGCCACAGAATAAGTTTTGGATAATATAAAGTAAAATATTTGATAGAGAGAACTAAAATACATTATTGGCTAAAGTGTCATCCCGCACAATGAACTATAACGGATTATTCATGCCGCACCCTGAACTTTCATAAGTGATGTTTAGAACCACAAACCATTAATTTTTTTCCATCTAGCATTTTTTACAGGTTTCTTACAGGTTACCGGTAATAATATGCTGAAATGGATTTTTTTTTTTTATTATTTCGTATTTTTCTTTTTTGGTCTTCTATTTGGTACCGATAATCCAACGCTATTGGGTTGAATGTCCTCTCTCACAACCCCTGCCCTCACCAGAAACTCTGTAGATTGTCTCTGCCAAAAGTTTGACACCCTGCCACCATTATCATCATTCTTGGAGCCGCCGATCTCTTTATGGAAATCTCTCCACACTCCCTGATAGTTGTTATTGCCTCCGCCAGTTTTTGCCCATTAAGGTGATTGTTGTTCTTCAATCCTTACTCTAGGTAGTTAATCAATTTGCCGAAATAGAACCCGTCATTGTTATTGCTTTCATGGCCGCATTGCCTCCCTGGCTTGCCAGATACATGGAACCTTCTCTTTCACACCACAAAATCTTAGGTCGTCGTTAAGATTCTTTGTTCAAGGAAATGGAATTGTTGGATTGGTGAATAATGTGAACTAACAGAGATCACACTGCAATTTTAAAGCCACAGGTCCACATTAACTGTACTGTTTCCGGGCATGACGTACTGCATGAGAGGTTGCCTGGGTTCATGAAATTGGTCTCGTCCGGAATTGAAAAGCCCGCCACACCCAAAATTTTAGCTTACTCGTATTCTCTGAAACTCCCCCGTAACTCGTGGTGTTTCTAGAGATCAGTCCTCTATCCACATCTCAATCTTCCCTGTGTATATCGCCATTCCACCCAATTTATACCCCTTATTCCTTTCTTTCTATCACCAGATTCAATCAAACACGATACAAAAAAAGAGAAGCAGAGGAAGAAGAAGAATTTGTTAGTGTCGTGCAATAATGGCTTCAGAGCATATGAGAAGAGCCAACAAGACGGACGAAAGTCGAACTGGAGAAGAATAGAGTCCCCAAAATGGCCAGCCACTTTGAGTCGCTGGCCGAGAAAGTCGCCGATGACACTATTGCGGATTTCCGTCCCGCCGATGTGCGTGTTATTGAAACGACGGTCGCCACTACTGAACATGGAGATCAAGGCAAAATCGCACGAGAAAGGGAAGCAGCTCGCGACGCGCAGAAAGGAGGGAGGGCGCACGGCCAACAAACCCGCGACATCACCTCTCAGCGTGAACACAATCAAGCCAAGCCTTGGAAAGCAACCGAACAAACCCAGGATGATATTGCACCTGATTGTTGTTGTTATTCACCGGCGGTGCCTGATACTTCGAAGACTCTATCGCCATTTCCTTTCTCTCTCTTATGCTGGTTCACAGGATTTAGTTATTACATTTAAATTTGGGAAGATTTACTTAAAAATAAAGTCCACATCAGCATATTACCGGTGCCACATCATCTTTAAACTGGGAAACCTGTAAAAAATGTTAGATAGAAAAAAATTAATGATTTGTGGTTCTAAACATCACTTATGAAAGTTCAGGGTGCGGCATGAATAATCCATTATAGTTCATGGTGCGGGATGACACTTTAGCCTACATTATTCTTTAGTCATGTGATTTTTTAATAATAAAAAAGTGACAAGCACTAACATCAAGAATAGAAGATATGACTCTTACCCGACTAAATTTTACATCAGGCATTCCATTCTTAAATTCAACTTCTCCAAAAGCAATCTCCAGTTCCTAAAATTATGTACACAACAGGAAAGTTAGCTAAGTAAAATAATTTGCTAAGCTATTTCAGTAATGAAAAATCCTTCACCATTTCAAGTAAATCCTTAATGACAAATTAGAGAAGAAAAATTTGAAAGAGTAAGCAATGATCTTACTAATAACCTCCACTCAGAGCTTTAATTGCAGCTGCAAGCTAGTACTCTCATCTGCAGCTGAGAATTTAAGAATGGAATGTTGAAATCATTTGTTTGTTTCCTTCTTTCTTTCTTTCCTTCTTTCTTTGTTTGTTTCTGTAGCATATGTAGTATTTTGTATTAGGAATAAGTGAGTAAAGTTGTATAAAGCATTTGATGCACCACATTTCTTTTCCATACAATGTTGAAATCCTAAGACACAAAAACCAGTAACTAACACTGATAATATTATATTATGATGTCTTCTTCACAGCTCCCTAAGCTTTCGTAGATTGTCAGCTATTTCTGTCAAGAAAACGATCCCTTCGTCTCCCCTTTGTAAAGTCATAGTGGTGTGCTTTATGCAGCACCCACTTTCTGCTTCAATTGCTATCCATCTTTCTCCGAGATCTGACCTTTCTCTTGTAAAGGTAACTTTTTTTTCATTTCCTACAACAACAGAATGAAAGAGCATGTTTACTGGCTGTAAAGATTCAACAATAATAAAACAAGTTAATAATAGAATAGACTATATATATGTATGTTTATATATACCCCCCCAAGTGTTGCTGATCTTCCTGATCTTCTAATTTTACTAGAAGGTATTCTTCATTGTTTGATGCCGGATTGAACTTGTTTTGGAAACTTGAGAGCATGTTCAAAAGGCGAGATCTCTCATTCAAGCATGGTGTCCTCATTCCAAAACTCTGCATCCAAATTCTCAAAATTCCAACTATCAAAGACACCCTACAGAGTTGCTGAGGTTCCCAGAATCCTCATTCTCATCTACTGCAATCCTTATACCTCCATTTCTCCCCTTGCTTCAGGCTCCAGAAGAGGACAGAAAATAGCCTCAGGTCCCAACTTATGCTAAGCTCTGTCAACACTTGAAGCATCATTTCCCATTGTAGGATCAGCCCCAAGGCAGCCCCATCCTCCACTTTACAAGCTTTAGATGAGCCTGCAAAACCCTTCCAGCAGGAACCTCCTCCTTTAGCCTATATCTCAGACCCTGCAAGCCAATTAAAGCCAAGAAAACAGATGGCTTCATTTCCATAGAATACAACCTATGAATCAGCCTTAATAGAATCACAAGACATGTGGAGTCATTTCCCATAGAAGGATCCTCCCCATGGCAGTCCTATCCTCCACTTTTAGAAGCTTTGGGTAAGAACTACAGCTTGTAATCAGCTATCCTCCTCTCATTATTGCATCCAAAACTCTCTCTGCCCCCATCAGATTCCTCCTTTTTCCATCTGCAAAACTCAAAAAAAGAAAAAAGAAAAAAGAAAAAGCAACCCTCCACTGAACAAGGTTTTGGACTACCTTCTCAGACAGCAGCAGTTCAGGGGCTGCTATCGCCACAAAGAAATAGGACTTCCTTTCCTTAATGCATCCAAAATCCCTCCAAGCCCCTTGACACAAAGCAAACCCAATCTCCACTTGATTTATGCTCAGTTGATAGCCAAGATATATATTTTATAAAAATTCGAAATACAATAACAAATTCGAAATATATAATTATAAAATTCAATATATATATATATATATATATATATATATATATATATATAAATATACATTACCGTACCCCGGGGAGGCGACGTCCGGCTGTTGAGGCGACTTGGGCGAGCTGTGGCGGCGAGGCATCGACGTGCGGCAAGCTGTGGCGGCGAGGCAACGTCCAGCGAAGCTTTTGTGGAGAGGCGACGATGGCGTTCGTTGAGGGTGCGACGAGAATGAGATTTGTGATGGTGGTGTCGAGGGGAGTAGCAGTGGCGACGGCGGTGTGTGGAGTGGTTTAGGTTTTTTTATTTGGAATTAAAGATCTGAAGGCTTCTCTCAAAAAACAAGAATCTGATGGCTATTTAATAGATATACGACGTCGGCTATATTTTAGCCGACGTCGTATACCTTAAATATTTATTTTTTATTTTTTTTATTAAAGTTACGACGTCGGTTTTACAAAAAACCGACGCCGAAACTTTAATAAAAAAATTTAAAATTAATTTAATAACTATACGACGTCGGCTCATTTACGAGCCGACGTCGTATAATTTCTAATTTCCTTTTTTTTTATTTAATTTCCTTACATACAGCGTCGGTTTTTAATAAAAACCGACGTTGTATGTATTTATAAAAAAAAGTAAAAATTATTTTAAATTTTTAACGTCGGTTTTGTAAATAACCGACGTTAAAAATGCGACGTTGTAATACATTTCTGTAGTAGTGATCCCTTAGCTGCTCCTCCTTGATATCTTCCAAAAGTGTAGGTACGACCATTAGGTTGTAAAGGCGGACTTTCGACTCAACTTCGCCTTGCTCCACCACCTCTAGGCTCATCCTTTGAAGTTCCTTGCAAAGCTCGTCACCCACCACCCAAATGGAACTAACGACATGTTTAGACTTCCTGCTTAAAGCATCCACCACCACGTTGGCTTTCCCCTCGTGATACTGGATGTCCAGCTCATAGTCCTTGATGAGTTCTAACCACCTTCTTTGACACATATTAAGATCCTTTTGTGTGAAGATATACTTGAGACTCTTGTGGTCCGTAAAGTTCTTGCAACGCACGCCGTACAAATAATGTCTCCAAATCTTCAAAGCAAACACTACGGCTGCTAACTCTAAATCATGCGTGGGATATTTCTCCTCGTGCACTTTAAGCTGACGTGAGGCGTAGGCGATTACCCTCCCGTTCTGCATCAACACGCAACCTAATCCTTTCTTAGATGCATCACTGTACACTTCAAACCCTTCCGTTCCGGATGGCAAGATTAATACTGGTGCGGTCGTGAGCCTCTCTTTTAATTCCCGCAACGCTAGATCACAAGCTTGATCCCAAAGGAAAGGCACTTCCTTCCTTAACAACTTAGTCAAGGGCTGAGCCACTTTAGCGAAATCTAACAAAAATCTTCGGTAGTAGCCTGCTAATCCAAGGAAGCTTCTCACTTCCACCACAGACGTCGGCACAGTCCACTCTTTCACCGCCCGAATCTTATTCGGATTCACCAAGATGCCTTTGCTATCGATTACGTGACCCAAGAATGCCACACTACCCTTCCAAAATTCACACTTCGAAAGCTTGGCGTATAACTGTTTTTCCCTCAGAATTTGGAGTACTGTCCGAAGATGCCCTACGTGTTCTTCCTTATCCCGAGAATACACAAGGATGTCGTCGATAAACACGATCACGAAATCGTCAAGATGAGGCTTGAACACTCGGTTCATCAGATCCATGAACACTGCGGGGGCGTTTGTCACACCGAACGGCATCACCGTGAACTCGTAATGACCGTATCGAGTCCTAAATGCGGCCTTAGGAATGTCCCTGTCTGTCACTTTCAACTGATGATACCCAGATCTTAAGTCAATCTTGGAAAATACCCCGGCGCCTCGTAGTTGATCAAACAGATCGTCAATCAGCAGTAAAGGGTACTTGTTCTTGACAGTGACTTGGTTCAGCTCGCGGTAGTCGATGCACAACCTCATGCTCCCATCTTTCTTCTTTACAAACAGCACCAGCGCTCCCCACGGTGACGTACTCGGCCGGATGTAGCCCTTGTCTAACAACTCCTGTAGCTAGGTCTTCAACTCCTGCATTTCCTTGGGTGCTAACCGATAAGGAGCTTTGGATATAGGCGCCGTACCGGGTAAAAGATCCACTGACAATTCCACTTCTCTCTGAGGGGGCATACCCGGAATCTCCTCGGGAAAGACATCAAGGATTTCGCATACAACGAGTATGGTCTGAGCCGCATCCCCTTTCGCTTTTAGATTTTTGACAGAGCACAAGAAGATCTCATGGCCCTTCTCCACGTACTTTTTCATCTTCAGCATCGACACTAATTTGATTCCCGGTTCTTCTGTTGATCCTCGGTACGACACTCTCTTCTCGATGGGCCCTCGCAAGACCACTTTCTGTTCACTACAAAAGAGTTGAGCTCTGAATCGTCCCAGCCAATCCATGCCTAGGACCACATCTATCCCATCCAAATCGTACTGGATTAAGTCGCTGGGAAACTCCTCTCCACTGATCTTTATCTTGACGCCTTTGAAGAGTCTGTCGCAGGTTCTAACTTCTCCGGATGCCACCTTAACGTTTAATTTCACTCCGATGCCTCTGGTTAAACCCAACTTCTTCACGTGTTCTGGAGCTACGAATGAATTGGACGCTCCAGAATCGAACAAGATTACCGCTGGGACAAATTGCACAAGAAAAGTCCCGATTACCACGTCACTGTCGCCCGCCCGAACTTCACTTAAGATGAGGGTCTTCTCTTGAGGTGACTCTTCCGTCGGATTCTGGGTCTCTAATCCACTACTTCTTCTTAGATTCCGGGACGCCGGCAAGATAGCTGCGCTGGGGTTATTCGGGTGGACGTGCCACCCCGGATCCACTGTTCGACCACACTAGGAGCGTTACTAACTCCAGTCGTCCTAGGTTTCTTAGCCACATCACCTGTATCTTCGAACATCGCGGTACGCTGACGGGGAGGCATCGCAAAGCTTCTACAACAACAACACTATTACCACCAAGACAACAAACAAGCAAACAACTATAAACAACACTCAGCCCACCGCGCATCCTAAGAATCCTAAGCCTAAACTCTTAGATTCTTACGGTCACCTTAAGGTCTCAAACCACACTTAGCCACTTAAAAGTCTAGACTCTATCATCCTAGGCTCAAACCTAGGCTCTGATACCAACTGTAACACCCCCGATTTCCATACCAATTTAAGACTTAATCATGCAGATAATTCTAACCATAAAAGCATACACAGTGGAAGACTAACCATAAAATAGATGGAAAACGTAGAGTGTTATGCCACTTCCACACTATGGTGAACGCAGAGGCGTAAATAACTTCAACATAATCTGTCTATCAAGGAACAAGGTCAACAATAACAAGTCTAAAGTCTAGCAAAAGGGCGCACAGGCCAAAACATACTACAGGACTGAGGGATCTATACTATCTGTCTCTAGACCGTGCTCGCCTCTACTCAGCACCTGAAAGAAACACATAAATATATGGGACGACGCCCGGTCAGCGAATAATGCTGGTAACCCACCAATACATGTGAAATATCATACATAGATAGGATATATATATATATATATATATATATATATATATATATATATATATATATATATATATATATATATACAAAATCATTTGCGAAACGGGATATAGTATGTATAAGTTCAAATCCAAGAGTAGAAGTCAAACACAAGACTCTATGCACTCACAACAAAGATAAGGGAACACATCCCAAGACAACAAGAAGCAATAACGACTCATAAGATCGGCTCAAGGCGTATTCTACCATCACTTAGTAGACTAACACCCGACATGCATAACACAAGAGAATAAGGACACAACCATTGGCAACACATGCCTTTGTAACAACACATGTCACAAATAGAGAAGTACACAACACTGGCAACACATGCCTTCGTGACATCACCCGTCACGAATTGATATGCCTTCCTTATGCCCGGTTCTAACCTTATGGCTACTCCCGACCTTATATCTAGTTCCAACCTTAACCCCCAGGACCCCTGTACACCAAGTCCAACCTTATTCCTCCGAGGACCGTCGTCCCCACTCCAACAATCTCCAATAATACCACCGATTTCATAGTACACGAGGGTACCGATCACACATGGCAACACATGTTACCCAAAGAAAATACGTGAACCTTACACACAGGTCACAAACTCCATAATCGCGTCTTGGCCACCACGAGGACCACTGCCGTACCTTGGTGACTAATGTCCCATACCATTAATCGTGCAATCCAGGTACAGCCACACACCTAACACCATCATAGGAATCAATCAACGGATCACAACGAAGATATGAAACCATACTTAATCAAGGAATGGATCACAATCCAACAACAACGATGATTAACACAAGTCATCATCAACAATAGGAAAGGACAAACAATGCACACGCTAGCATTTAAATAGCGAACTAGCATGCTTATCAAACGGGTAAACCGAACATAGTTCCGAAGAACACACAAGACTCATCACGGTTCAACGAATCACAATGTTGAACACTTAGCATGATTCAAGACACCAAAACCTACATGGATTCCTACCATATAGTTCTAGACATATGAAACATCAAGAAGACACTCAAATAGTTCCACAAAAGAACATCGGGAAGTCAAAAGACCAAATACCGAGTCAAAAGAATCACGGGGAACAAATCCCCGCCCAAGCCACATATGTACCTCGTGGGTGGGCCCACGGGTGGACCCCCGCCCGTGGTACCGCCCGCGGGTACCACACCCACCAAGCCATGTACCCTGCGGGTGGGGCGGCGGGTGGTGCACTACCCGCCGTTCCGCCCGCGGGTACACTCCTGTACCACAAATAATCCCTTCGGGGATTTTCAACACCAATCTCAAATTCAGGTCCAAAACATGCCAAATCTCACCAAATACAACAAAATGACTTGAATCAAAGGAATAGCCAAGCAATGGCATACATGAACCCTAATAACAAGCTCAAGATATGCATTTTCACAAGACAATGCATCAACACTCACATTTCATAGCAAAATCACATGCAGAATCCAATAAATCATTATATAGGTAATGAAAATAGATTTTGTAGAGCATGAGTTACCTCTTGAAGACTCAACCTTCACTTAAAACACTTCACAAGCTCCTAACAAGGTTCCCTTTCCACACCCAATTCAAGAACACACCAAAAGATCATAAAGATTTCACCTTTAGAAAAAGATTCCTTAGAAAACACTAAAAACACAAAAGGAGCATAGATCTTATCCTCCTAGATGCTCAAGAGTAGGAAAGGTGGAA